ACGATGGTCGAGTGGTCGTGGCTGACCGCGGACGTCGCGACGGCGCGGTCCGCGTCGAGCGGCAGCGATATCACGGGGTCGAGCCCAAAGTCGGAGCCCGTGATCGTGATCTGCCCGCCCGTGTTCGCCAGGGACAGGCTCGGCGGGTCCACGGAGGCGATGATCGGCGGGCGGTAGGCGACGGCTTCGGACGCGGCCTGGTCGACGACGGTGACGACGGCCGCGAGGCCCGCGCCCTGGCCCGCGGGCGTCGAGACGACGACCTCGTTGTGGGTCCAGGAGACGACGGTGCAGGCGACGCCGCCGAGGGTCACGGCGTCCTCGCCGGGGCCGAAATTGTCGCCGTAGAAGGTGAGCGCGTCGCCGCCCGCGGTGCCGACGAGCGTCGCGGAGACGCTGTCGATGGTCGGCGGGAGGTAGGAGATGCTGAGCGCGTCGGCCGTCTCGTTGGCGACGTAGGAGGGGTAGCCCGAGCTATAGACCGTGATGCGCGCGTCGGACCCCCCGGACTCGGGCACCTCGAACGTGAGCTTGCGGCACGTGTCGTCGATGTCGAGCGACGTGACGACGTCGTCGACGACCTCCAGGTCGCCGACGATCGTCGCCTGGACGCCGAAGCGGATGCTGCCGTCGTCCAGGACGACCTCGTCGTCGCCGACCCAGACCTCCATGGCGCCGGAGAAGTGGTAGCCCGCGACCGCGATGGTCCGCACCTCGCCGCCGTCCGTCTTGCCGTCCGTCCGGTAGCCGTCGGCGTCGGGCTGAAAGCGCGAGTCCTCCGTGACGACGCGCGGGGAGAGGATCTCGAAGCTGTGCTCCTCGCTCGCCTTGTCGCCGAGCTGCACGTAGAGCGCGCCCGTCGTGCCCCCGAGGTACGTGAGCGAGATGTGGTCGTGCGCGTAGGAGGAGATCTGCGCGGACGGGACCTTGGCGCCCTGGATGTAGACGGAGCCGTAGTCGGACGACGCGCCGAAGTTGCGGCCGCCGATCTCGACCTTGACCGTGCCCGCCGCGTCGCCGTCGGCCGTCGACAGCGACGTGATCGCGGGGCCCTCGTACTCGAAGCCGACGTTCCCGCTCGTCAGCACGATGGTCGGGTCCGCCGCGGAGCCCACGGTCACGGTCACCGCGCGGACGTGGTCGTCGTCGGCCATGGCGGGCACGACGAACTCGACGCACTCGAGCCCGGCGCCGCACGCGCGAGTGTAGTCGCTGCCGCCGGGCGTCGCGCGCGTGAGCGAGTCGCCGTCCAGCGCGATGGTCTCCCCGTCGACGACGACCTCGACGTAGCTCTGGCTGTACTGGAGGCCGAGGTCCGTGCCGTTGATGACGACGACGGCGCCGCCGGCCGTCGGCACGTAGCGCGGCCGGAGGTCGAAGACCTCCGGCGTCGCGTAGCTCAGGGACCCGCCGGGCTCGGACGTCTGGCCCGCGACCTCCACGGTGAAGGAGAGGCCCTCGCCGAGGCCCGGCGACGTCAGGCACTCGAGCGCGCCGTCGCCGACGAGCGTGCAGTTGCGCGCGGCGTACTCCGTGCCGCTCGGCCCGTAGCTGACGCTCTCGACCATGCCCTGCTCCGCGCCGAAATTCGCGCCGGAGACGCGCACGACCTCGCCGCCGCCGATGGCCATCTCCGTCGCGTCGCCGACGACCTCGGCCCAGGTCACGGACGGCGGCTCGACGCGCGTCGACGGCGCCGTCGAGTTCTGGCCCGCGATGACGACCTTCCAGCGGTGGCCCGTGCCGACGGCCGCGACCGTCGTGCACTGGAGGGCCTCGTGGGCCTCGTGGATGACGCAGCCGCACGACGACGCCGTGCAGGCCCCGTACTCGTAGCCCGTCGGGCCGTACGTCACCGCGTCGATGAACGCGTCGTCGGTGCCGAAGTTGCCGCCGTGGACGAGCAGCGTCTCGTTGCCCACGGCCAGGAACCCCTCGCGGTCCGGCAGCGCCAGGTAGCTCTCCTCGTAGTAGGTCACGTAGGGCGACCCGTAGCCCAGGCCCGCCGCGTAGGTCGGGCTCGTCTGCCCCTCGACGGTCAGCTTCGCGTGGTGGTCGAGGCCCACGCCGGGGCCCGTCGTGCACGCGGCCTTGGTGTGGGCGACGACGACGGCGCAGGCGCCGTCGCCCGCGTAGAGGCTCGCGCCCGGCGCCGGGCCGTAGCTCAGCGTCGGCTCCGTGCCCGTGGGGCCGAAGTTCGTCCCCGTCAGGTAGACCGTCGCGCCGCCGGCCGTCGACGACGTCGTGAGCGCGCCCGTGACGCCCGTGACCGTCGGCGGCGCGTAGTCCACCGTCGCCGCCGACGCGGCGGACGCGCGGCCCGCGACGGTGACGACCCAGGCGTGGCCCGTGCCCGCGCCGGGGGCCGAGACGCACTCGACGTGCGTGTGGTCGTGCAGGACCGCGCAGCCCGTCGCTTCGTAGCGCGCCCCGTCGTCCCCGCCGTAGGTCGCGGAGACGACGCTCGACTCCGCGCCGAAGTTCGTGCCCTGCAGCACGACGCGCGAGCCTCCCTCCGTCGGCATCGTTTCGACGGACGGGCTCGACGACGTCTGGCAGTAGCAGGACCACGCGTCGGTGCCTTGCACGTCGTTCCAATAGCCGAATTTCAGGTACGATGCCCCGTAGCCCATCGATCCGACCATCGTCGCGTGCCACTCGAGACCGGATGAGTCGTTCGGCTCGTTCTCGCTCCAATAGGAGAAGGACGAGCCGCAGCCGTCGAACCAGGTCCAGTCGGCGTCCGCGTCGGTCCAGTCGTCGAACGCGTCGTAGCCTAACCACGCGTTCGTGAACCCGTCGTCGTGGAGCCGCGTCGCGAGCGCGAGGTTCTGCTCCGCGTTGGCGACGCAGGGCATGGTCGCGCCGGCGCCGGCGCAGGCGGCGGCGCAGTCGTCGAAGGTCAGGTCGCCCTCGTAGCCGTAGGGCGCCGCGTCCGGCGCGACGACGACGACGTCGACGGCCGCCGCGCCGTACGCGAGGCCCAGGCTCTCCGCGTTGTACTCGGCCGTCGTGCCGACGTACTGCGTCGCCGCGCCGCTGACGCCGATGATCGCGACCCAGTACGTCGTCGCGCCGTAGCCCGGGGACGTCTCGCACGCGACGCGCGTGCCGTCGGCCGAGTCCCAGGCGTAGGCCGCGCAGGCCCAGGTCGATCCGAGGTCCGCGGCCTCGGCGGCGTAGTAGATCAAGACCGTGTCCTCGAGCCAGCTCCCGCAGAGCGTGTCGTCGCTCGGCGCCGCGGCGCACGTCTCCGAGACGCCGACGCACGCGCCGCCGCAGGCCTTTTCGCCGTCGCCGCAGTAGCCGTCGCAGCGCGGACCGAAGCTCGTCCCCTCCAGCGTGACGTCGCCGCCGCCGGCCGTGTCGAAGTCGCCGTCCGTGACGAGGCCGGAGATCGTCGGCGCCGCGTAGGACGTCGTGAACGCGCCGGTCGCGGTCCACGCGGACGTGCCCGGCGCGGCGATCGTCGCGGTCCAGTGGTGGAGCGCGCCGACGCCCTCGTCCGTGGAGCACGTGATCTCCGTGCCCGGCGTCGTCACGGAGCAGCCGTAGGCGTAGTAGGTCGCGCCGTCGGCGCCGTTGCCGTAGGTCATGGTCACCGCGACGCCCGCGGAATCGCCGTAGGGCCCGAGGTTCGCGCCGGAGATGACCACGGTCTCGCCGCCGACCACGGAGAGCGTCGACTGGGACACGGACGTCAGGGCGACGTCGTTGACGTCGTTGACGGTCACGAGCACCGTCACGGTCGCCGAGTAGGCCTCCTCCGTGTCCGTCTCCGTCGCGACGATCGTCAGCGTGTAGCTCGTCGCCGTCTCGTAGTCGAGGCCCGCGTCCGCGGCGACGGAGAGCACGTTGTGGGCGGCGCTGAAGAGCCCCGCGTCGTCGCCGGCCGTGATGACGTACTGGAGCGAGTCGCCGTCGATGTCCGAGCAGCCGAGCTCGCCGAGCGCCGCGGGCCCGCCGTTCTCGTCGACGGCGCCGAGGTCCAGCGTGGCGTCCCCGACCGCGAAGGTCGGCGCCTGGTTCTCGTTGGTGCAGAGCTCGCAGTCCGTGCACTCGTCGCAGCCGCCGCCCGCGCAGAAGAGGCCGGCGGCGCAGTCGGCGCAGTCGCCGAGCTCGTCGTGCGACGACGCGTCCGTCGCCGCGTCCTCGAGGAAGGTCTGCGCGGGGCAGAGGGAGCAGGCGGAGGCGCCGGCGCTGTCGACGTAGCGCCCCGCGCGGCAGACCGTGCACTCGGCGTTGCCCTCGCCGCCCGCGAACGTGCCCGCGGCGCAGGACGCGCAGTCCTCCGCGCCGCCCGTCGAGTAGGTGCCGGCCGCGCACGACGAACAGTCGGCGTAGGAGTCGTGCAGGGCCGCGTCCGTGCCATCGTCCGCGTTGTAGGTGCCCGAGGCGCAGGGCGTGCACGAGGCCTGGGCCTCGAACGCGACGTAGTAACCGGCGGCGCACACGGAGCACCCCGACGCGCCGGTCCCGCTGTAGGTCCCCGCCGCGCAGGCGTCGCAGGACGACGCGCCGGTGCCGCTGTAGGTCCCCGCCGCGCAGTCGACGCAGTCGACGACGTTGTCGTGGAGCGTCTCGTCGAGGCCGTCGTCCTCGAGGTACGTGCCCGCGGCGCAGCTCGCGCAGGTCGCGGCGCCGTTCGCCGCGCTGTAGGTCCCCGCGGGGCACACGAGGCAGTCCGCGGCCGTGTCGTGGTCGTCGAGGGACGCGGAGTCCGCCAGGAATCGGCCCGCGGCGCACTGCGTGCACGCCGACGACCCGGCGAGCGAGTACGAGCCCGCGGAGCAGGTCGCGTACTCGGAGCTGCCCGCCTCGCAGTAGGCGCCGGCCGGGCAGGTCGTGCACGTCTCCAGCCCCCCGGGGGAGTAGGTGCCGGCGTCGCAGGTGACGCAGTACGCGTCGGACGAGTGCGGGTACGTGCCCGCGGGGCACGCGGAGCACGACTCGATGCCGCCGCTGCAGGCGTCGCCGTCGTCGGGGCAGGACTCGTCGCTGTAGGAGCCGTCGGGGCAGGCCTCGCAGGCCGCGCTGTTCGCGCTCGCCGCGAAGGTGCCGGCCTCGCACGGGAGCGCCGACTCCGCGCGCTCCGGGCAGTAGTAGCCCGCGGGGCAGTCGTCGCACGCGCTCGCCTCGAAGTCCGTCTGGTAGGTGCCCGCGGCGCAGGACGCGCAGACGACGCCGCCCGTGGACCCGCTGTAGGTGCCCGGCTCGCAGGCCGTGCACGAGCACGAGCCGTCGTTGACCGCGTAGCGGCCGACCTCGCAGCTCGTGCAGCTCGTCAGGCCGATGGACGGGCCGTAGGAGCCCGCCGGGCACGAGTAGCACGTCGCCTGGCCCGCGTAGGGCTGGTACGTGCCCGGGTCGCACTCGGGGCAGCTCGAGCAGGACCCGCACTCGGCGTCGCAGCCGGACTCGTAGACGGCCGTGGTGACGCAGGACGTGTCGCAGCCGCTCCAGCCCATGAAGCCGTCGCAGGTCGTGGAGCAGGACTCGGAGTAGTACCTGCGCCGCGGGGGTCGGGCCGCGCGCGCGCGGCGCGTCGGAGGCTACGCACTCGCAGTCGCGGTTGCACGAGCCGCACGTGTAGCCGTTCGCGCCGTAGGTCCCCGCGTTGCACGTGTTGCCCGTGCGGAAGGGCCCCGTGTCGCTGGCCCAGACCGTGGCCTGGTTGCCCGTCTGGAGGCGCCGGCGCCGCGCGCCGTCCTCCGTCTCGGCCCACGCGTCCCGCGCGGAGTGGAACTCGCCGACGAGCGCCTCGACGTCGTCGCACATCTCGAGGAAGGGCCGCTGGATCGTCACGTGCACGCTCGTGCCCGACGCCGCGCGGGCGCTGTGGACGGTCCGCGGCGGCAGGAGCAGCGCGTCGCCGGCTCTCAGCGTGAGCACGTCGCAGTCGCGCGCGCCCATCTCGAGGTCGTCGTAGGTCGCGCAGCGGCTGAGCTTCGCCGCCGCTTCCGCGGCCCAGGGCGGCGCCTCCTCGACGGGCGCGGGCGGGCAGACGAGCCAGTCCTTGGTGCCGTTGAGCTGGACGACGAGGACCTCGCCCGGGTCCGTGTGGTTGTCGAGCGCGGCGACGCCGGGCCCGCTCCAGTAGACGTGGGCCGACGCGCCGCGCTCCAGCTCGCCCGCGAGCGCGCCCTCGCTGTCCAGGAGCGCGGCGACGGCGGCCGCGGGCTCCGCGAGCCGCTCGAGCCGCAGCACGGCGCTCGCGTCGCCCGCGGCGACCGCGGCCGCGACGGCGGCGTAGGACCCGAGCTCCGGCGCCGGCGCCCCGCCCTCCGCCGTCAGGTGCACGAGGGGCTCCGCCCACGGCGTCGCGTCGCCCAGCAGCGCCGCGAGAAACGACGGGTCCAGCGCCCGCGGCGCGCCGGACGCGGGCACGTGGCGCACCAGCGGCGACGCCATGAGCTCGTCGACGGACGCCTCGTCGCGCAGGTCGAGGGCCGACGCCAGGCCCATCGTCGCCAGCGCCAGCAGCTTCATCGCGTTCGCTACGGTAGAACACAGAACGGCAGATGCGAGGACGACCACTCGATGTCGGGGCAGCCGAGCCAATGAACTGAAACGGCACGCTAGGAGGACCGTGCCGGCATCGCCGGCCTTCGACTGCAAGAAGCCCGTGGTCAGGCGGCACGAGTACGAAAACGAGCTGTCCCACGCGGACGTCGTCGTCGGTCGTCTGCGGAATGAAGCGGCAGTGCTGCAGGTGACGCAGCAGCAATGAAGCAGCTGCTCGCGGTGCTCGCGCTTGCAGCAACCGCGCGCGCCTTCGCGACCATCGCCAGCCGCGCGCCGACGCGCCGAATCGCCGCGAGCGCCGGCTTCCGGCAGGAGTGGCGCAACGGCGTGTCGTCGCGCGCCGACGCGCTCGCGGCGCTCGACGAGGCGTGCCTCGGCGTCGGCGACGTGCTCGACTGCGCCGGCGGCGAGCACGTGCTCGCCTTCTGCTTCCTGAGCCGCGCGCACCAGGACGCGCTGCCGCGCGTCGCCGCGGCGCTCGAGGCCAAGTTCGGCGCCGCGCCGCACACGTCCGTGGCCGTCGTCGGCGGCGGCGTCATCGGCGGCGTCGGCGACGAGCGCGAGGACGGCGTCACGTCCGAGGAGCACATGGCCGTCGCGCTCGCCGACGCGGCGGCGCCGGCGCTGAGCGTGCTGGCGGGCGCGCTGCCGCGCGGGAGCGCCGTCGCCGCGCGGTGGCTCGGGCCGATGCGCGGCGGCCCGGCGAAGGTCGACGGCGACGCCTGGCGCGACCTCTTCGACGCGCGCGGCGACGAGCCGCGGGGCTTCTTCCTCTTCGCCGATCCGCTGAGCCGCTTCCTCCGGAAGACGCAGCGGGCCCTGGACGACCACTTCCCGGCCGTTCTCAAGGTCGGCGGCCTCTCGGCCCCGCTCGGCGACGCGTCGGCGCTGGCGCTGAACGGGGAGCTCCTGCCCTTCGGGTCCTGCGCGACGCTCGCGTTGAAGGGCCCGCTCCTTCGATTGGATTGTGTGACGTCGCAGGGCTGCGCGCCCGTGGGGGCGACCTACACCGTGACGACCGTGGAGCAAGGCCAGGTCTTGGTGGAGCTCGACGACGCCCCGGCCTTCGCGGCCATGGAGCTCACGGGCGAGGGCGCGACGCCGCGGGAGAAGAAACTGATGGAGTCGCAGTTGCTGGTCGGGCTACGGCCCGCGGCGGCGATCCGGGAGGAGGCGGAGAAGCTGCCGCGGCGCCAGACGGCGGGCGCCGCGCAGCTGCGGCCCGCGGACGCCGATTGCTCGCCGGCGGAGGACTGGCTCGTGCGGCAGGTCATCGGGCTCGTGCCGACGGTGAAGCGTCGCACGTCCTGGAACTACCGCCTGAGCGGCATCGACTTCAACACGGGCAAGGACACGCCGGGTCTCGCCATCGGCGCCGAGGTCCGGCCGGGCGACCAGCTGAGATTTCACGTCCGCGACGCCGAGGCCGCGGATGAGGACATGAACCTGCAATTCCGGCGCTACGGCGCGGAGCGCATGTTCGGCGGCGGCGCCGCGGTGCTGGGACGGCCCGTGGCCGCCGTCATGTTCCAATGCATGGGCCGGGGCGCCGCGCTCTTCGGCGACGGCGCGCACGACTCGACGGCGTTCGGCGCGGAATTCGGCGACTTCGTGACGCTCGGCGGCTACTTCGCGAACGGCGAGGTCGGCCCCCTCGGCGCCATCACCGGCGGCGCGTCCCGAGTCGACAAGCGCCGCCGCGAGACGCACCAGCACGAGTACACGACCGTCGTCGCGATGATCGCGTCCCTCGACGACACGGGCGACACGGGCGACTAATCGCTTTAATCGGGCACGGCGAACGCGCGGACGTCGTCGGGCAGGTGCGCGTGGACCCAGGCGCCCACGGGGTTCTCGCGCGTGCCGAGCCAGTGGGCGTAGTGGGCGTGGAGGCACTTGACGGTCGTCGGGTCGCGGAGGCCCGCGACGCCGACGGACCTGAGCACGCCGGACCAGCCGCGCTCCTCCACGAGGTCCGCCTCCGCCTCCGACAGCAGTCCCCAACGGTCCGCGGCGTAGCTCGCGTGCGCGGCCCGCATCGCCGCTTCGCCGGCCTCGTCGGCGAGGTGCGCGGCGGCGCGCTTGACGCCCTGGTCGCGCTCGACGGTGCCGACGGCGGCCTTTATCTGCGGGCACGTGAGCCAGTACGTCGTCGGGAACGGCTCGACGCCGCCTCGGCGCGACAACAAGGGGTGCGCTCGGATCACCGCCGGCGTGCCCGCCGCGGTCCAGGCCGCGACCTCGACGAGGTTCGGGGGACTGTAGCCGAGCTGTTGCGTGAGCATGTCCTCGACGGTTGCGTCGTCCCTGCTCAGGGTCGAGCGGAGCGTCGTGGCGCTTCGGCGGAGCGCTGCGGCGCGATGAAGCGTTGAGCGCGGCACCAGCGCGGACCTCGGCTTGGAACCGGGCCTCAGCGCCGACGCCGAGGCGATGAAGGCGAGAATTCGGCCGCCCATTGCTTCGCTCCGCGCCCGCTTCAACGAGCTGCACGACCCATTGCTTCGCCGCGCCTCAACGAGCCTGCACACAAAACGATGCAGTCGGTTTGCCGTTCGACAAGGACGGGCACACTCCTGTGCACAGGGCTGCCTCGGCGCGCCCGTCGGCAGCAGCGAGTAGATCCTAGTGGTCGGCTTGCGCCGCGCGCAGGCGGTGGCAGGCATCGCATGGCGTCCTTCCAATGGGCAGTTCCGACGGGCAAGGGCGCGCGGCGCGTGGCGCGGTCGATGACGTCGTTCGGTGGTGGTCGCGGCGGGATGCAACAAGAGACCTTCGACGCGTTCGAGGCGTCCGACGCCGGCGCAGAAGCGTTCACAATGCGCCAGGACGAGGAGGAGCTCGAGGTCACAATACCCGTCGACGAGGCGACGGCGAAGAAGGACGTCAGCGTCAAGTTCGCGGCGCGGCGCCTGCGCGTCGCCGTCGCCGGCAAGGGGGTGGTCATCGACTCGGGGCTGAAGGGCCGCGTCGTCCCCGACGGCTGCAGCTGGTCGTTCGGGAAGACCAAGGGCGCCAAGGCGCTCATCCTCACGCTGGAGAAGCGCGACGGCGACACGTGGGCCAAGCTCCTCGCGAAGACGCCGCCGGCGCCCGCCGACGCCGCGGCCTTCCTGCGCTGGCCCCCGGAGGACCGTGCGTACTGGAAACAGAACGAGGACGACGATTCGGCCTGGCGGGCCTACTCCGAGGCGACGGACGGGCCGCTCTGCGCGTACGGCGTGGGGGCCCTCGCGATGCGCGCCGTCTACACGACGTGGCGGCGCGTCGTCGACGCGGTCGCGTCCCCGGGCCTCTTCGACGAGGCCGAGCTCGCCCTCGCGCGGCGCTGGTGCTACATGCCGAAGCGCCACTCCATGGACACGGGCCGAGGCCTCGAGAAGACGCTCGTCGCCGCCGCGGGCGGTCCGTTCCAGCACGGCGATTGGGAGACGCCGTACCCGCTTCCGGACCGCTGCGACGACTCGTGCGTGATCCTCGAGACGCGCGTCCGGCCCGTCTGCCGCGCGGCGATGATGGACTACGTCCTGAACTGGATCGTCCAGACCATGTGTACCGTGGCGGGCGCCGCGCCGGACGCGGACAGTGGCCCGCCGAAGGAATTCATGGACGCGTGGTTCGACAAGGGCAACGAGCTCAAGGGCGCCGGGGACGACGACATGCTTTACGTCGAAGTGCCCGGCTGGGTCATGGACCTCGCGCTCACGCACCACGTCTCGTCCGGCGTCCCGCGGCCGCGACAATTTTCGAGAGATGTTGACCGGGAAGAATCGTCACCGATGCATCCGGTAGGTCTCGTCGCGGTGTTCGGGAAGCAAGGGCTACGAGGCGGCGATCTACTGCTCTCACGCGGACGACGACGAGGACATCGGTCGGGCCTGGACCGAGGCGTTCCTGAAGGTCCGCCGCGCCGCTTTTTCGAAAGTCGGCGTCGAAGAGGATCCCGACTATCCGCTCAAGCTCGCCAAAGAACAGCCGAAGCTCGTCGAGGCGCTCATTCAGGCCAAATCCGACGCGCCTCCGTGTCTCGACGCCGCCGGTATCAATAAGGTCCGCGCGTTCGTGCGCTCCCTCGCAAGCGCGGCGTCGAGCGACGGGAGTGATTTTTCGCGCAATTCTCGCCGGGAGACGAGACGAGATCCGACCCCGTCGCCCTTGGTAGGCAGAGCGCGTGGTCCTCGAGCTTCTCCCGGCCGAAGACGGCGAGCCGACGGGCCTCGACACGCCCGCGGCGCGCGGCAACCTGTCCGGCTTCGACATGCGCCTCGAAGACTGGAGCTCCGTCCCCGGCGCTCTCGAGTTAGCGGCGCGGAATCCTCAGGCGGAACAGATGCGAAACATGTTTGCGGGAAAATGAACCTCGACGCGCTAAACTCAACTCGACGCGCTAAACTCAACCCTCGACGCGCTAAGCTCAACCCTCGACGCGCTAAACTCAACCCTCGACGCGCTAAACTCAACATCTCAACGCGCAAAACTCGACCCTCGACGCGCTAAACCCAACGTCCAACGCGCGAAACTCAGGCCACGACGCCCCGATCGATCACCGTGTGTTTGAGTAGCCCGCGCCGCGCCCCCTAGGTAACAACTTCAATCTTAGGACTCCCCGTCCTTCGGCGGCTGGTGGAGGCAGTCGTCGAGGAGGAGGTGGTATTTGAGGGGCTTCGGCACCTTGAGGCGGAACGGCTCCCGCGGCGCCTTGCGCGCGTTGACGCCCTTGTTCCAGTTCCCATTGGTGCCGACGAAGGCGCGCATGCGGGCGTCGAGGTCGTCGACGGTCTCGCCGGGCTCCATGACCTCGGACCGCTTCTTGCGCCGCCGCCGCTTCTTCCGCTTGCCCGGCGACGACGTCGACGCCGGCGCGCGCGCGTCGAGGTGCCGGTCGCGCTGGAGCGGCTTGGACGCGTTCTCGGCCTGCATCTGGGCCACGCCGACGCGGTAGAGGAGCTTCTCGAAGGCGACGGCGTCCTCCGCGTTGTCCTCGTTGTCGAGCTCCGACAGCGACACGTTCCACGCCTCCTCGAGGTCCCGCTGGTCGAGCTTCGCGTCGATGTGGTCCGGTTCGATGTCGCCCGGCGCCGCCGCGGGGCCCGGCGCCTCGTCGCCGGCGGCGGCGTCCCCGAGGTCCCGCTTCGAGCCGACCTCCATGGCGACGCGCTTCGCCTCGCGCCGGAGCTCCTCGTTGCGCTTCTGCTCCGACTGGAAGTCGCTCCGACTCACGAGCTCGTCGGCCCGCATGCCGGACGCGATGGCCTGCTCGAGGGCCACCTCCCGCGCGACGAGCTCCGCCGCGTCGTTGGCCGCGGCGCCGAAGTCGCGGAGGAGCGCGCCCGTGCCCATCTCGCCCAACAGCTTCAGCTTCCGGAGCCGCGGCTCCAGCGCGCGCATGGGCTCGGACGCGACGGACGCCTTCGTCGCGCCCGTCGTCGCCGCATAAACGGCAAAAGAGCAGCCGTCGGCGTGCGTCGCGCGGATCGCGATCGCGTGCTTGCCGGACCCGTAGCGGTCGTCCTCGGGCGCGACGACGACGCGCTTCTCCTGGCCCAGGGACGTGTCCTGCCAGTCCGCGTCGCTCGCCGACGGGATCCGCCCCCGCGACACCAGCAGGTCGGCGTCGCCCTGAAGCAGACGAGCATGACCGTGAGGATGCAGTTCGGCGTGTCGAGGTCGACGTTGAA